TTCCCGGACAGCCTTTGACCGCCAAGATGACATGTTTAAAGGGTCGCCAGATGGCATCTCGGAACTTGGCTCCATCCGGAGCATGGGCTGAGGGGTCATGTTTATCAAGGTAGGTCCATATGTCGTGAAGAGGCTCCTGCGGTACTTAAAGGGCGAGCTATTGCGTTGGGTGATGAATGAAATGCCTCTCATCAGTCTAATGTTATCACTACGTGCTTCTAAAATTCTGTGTCATGTGCGGGAGGCGTGGCCGCGAAATTGAATCTGCGTGATGGTCGGTGTTGGTGTTCAACGCGTCGAGCCTCCAGTGCGATGATCTTGAGAGACGTGCGCAGTTGGCGGCCCCCGCATGCTCTCGGCTATCACCCCATGGGTCGGTACCCTAGGATTGGAACTGCCCCAGCCTCTCCACCTCCATCACATTTGACGAACGTTCTACTAGGCTTCACGCTCGAGCCTAGCTTGATTTCGCGACGCATCTGGGGTGTGTCCGTTGGTGGGTTGGTACGTCGATAACGGTGCCCAGGTGGGTTCGGCAAACATCCTCAGCTGACTTGCAAGACAGCATCAACAATTATGTATCGCAATGGAAGAGCGCGAATACCAACTGCCCGCATGCCAAAAGTGCAAACTGCGCAAAGTCAAATGCGACAGACAAGCACCCAAATGCACAAACTGTAGGAAAGGGAATGCCGCCTGCATCATCGTTGATGCTATCACTGGCGAACAGTATGCACGTGACTACATCCGGCAGCTGGAAGAGAAGGAAGGAACTCAATCTGCAGCGTAGGCTGAGCGATCTTGACGACACGGGTGTTGCGACACCAGCCTCCACCGAGAGATCGGACGTTGCTAATCGGAGATCAAATGGCAACACCATCGCGCACAGGTACTCGAGCAACTTGCGACGCGCCCTTGTATTGCTAGGCATCGACCCGTCGCTAGCGCACTACCAACGCTCGCGCGAGCGCAAGGACTGTTTGACAACTGCATCGCTCTATTCCATCTCCTTTATGCTTTTCTTCTTCGCAGCGGAATGCTAGATGTCTTTGGCAGGGCTGACTCCGTCGAATCGATATCAGAAAGACCCTCGACCCAGGATTGCTTTCGCATCTTTATGATATTCGCGATCAACGACACGACAGGGCATCGCGCCTGTCACGGTGATCACCCCAGTTCTCATTCGACATCTTTATATTGAGGTTGACTTGATCTTTAGATCATATACAGCCTCGTTGAGCGAGATGACGTCCATGTGCAGCTAATTGGCTGCTGCGCTCAGCGCAGCTGACACACGTGCCTCGTCTGCCTACACAGCCCCACTATGATATCCTTATCATCAGATTCTCACCGTACACATCTCTGTGTTGACAACTCTATCAATTCTTGTTCTGTATCCTTGGGTCGAAATTGTCTCTATAGTTCAGCTTCAAGAGCCGTTAATCACCGCCACCACATGTCTCAAGTCACGCGTACTTGCGCTTGGTGCAAAGACTTAGATCTTCCGCATATGATTCTGCGTTCCGGATTGACTGAGTCTCACATGGAAAGATTCAGATTTGGCCGCGTTATGATCTTCGGTTGCTCCGGTTCCCCTTTCTCAGGCTTTCCCTATGTGAAAGAAGGAAGCTGTTCCCGATGCAATCTGCTCACAAGAGCTCTAGGGACCACTTTTGGTGACATGGATACCGGAAGCTTACCTGGACCGTTTGGAATTTACATTGAGTCTGTTCCTCATCCAGTTCTCCCCGATCATGAGGCGACATATTTCGCCTTTGGGCCCTCGTCGCGCAATGAGGTTCCACGGAGGTACCTGCTTCCGACCCACGCGCGATTCGTCAATCTGAGGTTAGAAGAGGCCACTTATCTACCGTGTGCCCGAGTACCGAGCTCTGAGTCTATTGACTACAACAAGTTGAACGACGCCATCGGAATGTGTCTTTCTAAGCATTCGGAGATGTGTGGAAGCTCTTCCCATCGCGAGTTCACACCAACCAGACTCATCGACTGCAAGACTCGCGTGCTTTGCACAGCGCCCGATAGTCAATACATATGTTTGAGTTACGTTTGGGGCGATGTACCTGCCGGCAACGCCACTTCCAATAACACAGCTTTAGCAAAAATCCCGCAGACAGTCCTCGACGCTATCTCTGTCACTCTCAAACTTGGAATGCGATACTTGTGGGTTGATCGATATTGTATCGATCAAAACAACCCTGGAGAGAAGCACGAAGCGATTCGTAATATGGACTCGATCTATCGAAATGCTCTTGTCACGATCATAGCTGCTGCTGGTAGCGGCTCAGACTACGGGCTACCAGGAGTAAGCCGGCCACGAAAATCAACACCCCATTTTGGTATCGGAAGTCATGACTTCGTGGTAGTGAAGAACCCAAGAGAGGATGTGGAGTTCTCGGTGTGGAATACGCGGGGCTGGACGTATCAGGAAATGCTGCTCTCCCGTCGCCGCCTTATCTTTACCGATCATCAGGTCTGTTTCCAGTGTCGAAAGGGTTTGGCCACGGAGCAGCTAGATCAGAGCTTCGCATCGACAAACTTGATGACGAGGATCTCGATGGGCAAGGAGATCCTTCCGACCCAAAACGAGTCCTTTGCCATACACGATATATACTCTCGCTTAGAGGAATACTATCCTCGGTCACTGCGCTATGAAACAGACAATATCAACGCTTTCGCTGGAGTGTTCCGCGAATTATCGGGCCGAACGTCAGAAGCCGATAACTACGTGCTCCTGCACACGCCTGGGCTTTACATGTCGCGTACGCAATCGCACTTTTATGGTATTCCGATCTGGCTGCAAGAGCCTGCAGTCGATTATGCTGAAGGTAATTCCATATGGTGGCGACCTCCCAAGGTTAGTGACGAAGATAAGAATTCCTTGCGCTTTGGCCTTGATCTTGGATGGAAACTTGTGGGAGAAAGAAGGGACTCTCAATCCACTCAAACTGGAGCTAGAAGAAAGTCGGATTTCCCGTCTTGGAGTTGGGCTTCTGTGAAGAGTAGTAATCCTGAGGACGGCAAGGCTCAAATCATCTTTCCTGGGCGTCCGAACGTCTTGATGGAGATCAGTGACGCGGATTTCCGGGTCAATGTAATGCACAGAACTGGGGAACGTATGAGCATGTTGGAATTTACGGCTCAGGCGGACGACTACGCTCTATTTAATCCATGGTAGATCACTGGAACCATCCGATTGGTATCTCCGCTGACTTTTTTGATACAGGATAGACGTTAGCGCCTACACACTACGTGGCCATATACGGATGCAAGAGATGGAAGGATCTCGTTTGTGGACATTCTCTGGCCTTTTTGATGCGGAGGTGCACTTGGACACCACTCAGATACAGGAAACTGGACACTCTGTTGCCATTTACATTGGCATGTTCAGGAAAGATACCCAACAGGGTGGTTATGATGCAGCGTTATTCTTGCTCTTAGAGGAGACTGAACAACATGAGTTCAGGCGTGTTGGATGTTGTGAGGTAGCAAACGGCCAGGTGAATAACGACGACGACAGCGACTGGTATTTTGGTGTGAACGGCGGGTTCCTGCCATGTCATGCTGAAGAGCAGATTCCCCAGGAAGAGCTTGAATCCAGGGTCAAGTGGACGCGCGAAGAATTGAGAATTATCTAGCAGCGGTGCAAAGACGCTTCTTTGACTGGATCTTACAAAGGTGAGACAGTATCATTATAGACAAGTTGAACATTTTGCTTCTTAGTAGCTGCCGGACAGTCGCTTTTTAAGTACCGCGGAGGTCTCTTGGCTTCAAGTGGGCAAAATTCGAGTCAATGCCCTAACACGCCCTCCATTTGAACTTTTGTCAAGACAGCTGTTACATGACGTGAACATGACGTGAAGCGTGGAAGTCGCTATGCAGGACGTACCTAGGTAGTGTATATCCTGGAACAATGACAAGGTGTCAAGAAACTTCTCGCGATGTTGATCCGCGCATTGCGGATCTTACTCCCCGTTCACCTCCATTAATTTAGGAGTGAGCTCCAGCGCTCAGCATCAGGCCCCTGTAGAGCTTAAACGTTCTACCAAGAATAACACACGCTCACAGTAGCAACCCAAGATTGATTACCAACGTTCGCAAGGCTGCGACCTTGCCGCGCGCCACCTTTGCTCACAAACACACCTAATACCACATCAACCGCGAACGCCGACTGTCCTACCAGATGGCACTTCCAAACCAAGCTGGACTGTGGCTATATCGGTTCTCGTCAAGAACGTCAGCATCCGTTACGCGTCCGTCGAGATCGAATGCAATTGCAGCTCCAAAGAGCCCAGGCGCATCATCAAAAAGCCGCCGAACGACAAGGCTTATGTTACCCGCCAATCAATGTCTGCAAGCGGCATGCTGCACTAAGCAGTGAGAATAAGCAACACGCGCGCAGGAGGAAAGAGTCGACGTGTAAACAATTGTCCTCCTTCCCGCGTGTTTTCAGCGCGAAGATAGATTAGCCTGCGCTACATAAAGATTCAATCTAGTTTTAACATCAACTTCACTCCTTTCTTTTCTTGATTAAAATCTAGTTTATCCTGCATTCGACATATATTAACAGCCTCACTTTCATCTCGTGCAAAGAGTTCCATCTCTTCGCACATGCAATCATTGCGCCTGATGGTCGAGATACACGGGCACTTGACTTGATCCAAACTGATCTCCCAGTTGTTGCCACTGACCTTCCACCATCCATCCACCTTTCTCCACATTTCGACCACAGTTGTGCCTCTCATGAAAGCAAGTGGGTCACTGTAAGGTAGTATCTGGAGTAGGCAAAATGATGTGTCAAGAGATGGTGTTGCTTTCGCCTACCCCGGTACTCTTACTGCATGCAATATGCAGCTCGTCACCCCACCTCGATATCCGCCCTGGTGAGATAGCCATCTCGTCAGTGCCCAACTCAATTACTACATCGATTTTGAGAGACCGTCCGCTGTTGCCTACTTCTACCTCCAATACAATAAGGTAATATGTCGCCCTTAGTCGACCTCGACATCCTTCCTGAGGATGCAGACTTCGGCATGGTCATCGAGGAGGCCGGTCTGGACGACGAGGCTGACCCAGAATATGTGCCCCGCCAACGAAATATGGGCAAGCTGCAGCACCGCAAGTTCACAGGCTATGACCAGCGACTTCCCATGGTCGTATATGGCTTCCGTGAAGAGACCGTCCACGGCACGTCAGCCAACGAAACACCTCACACGCTGATTGTATTCCGCTGGGTGCTTCAACAGCGCGCTGCCGGACGACGCTTCAGGTCTGCAGAGATCCGTGCCGTGTTCCAGACAAAGCACAAAAAAAGCTCGGGGAGCGGCATTGATGCATACTACGACCCCAATGTCGCAGCTGTGGCGCCAAACGGCACTTACTCGATGCTCGCGACGCCTGTTGCTGTGTCGCAGACCCGGTCTACAGAGGCCGGCGGCGACGCTGGCATAGAGTACTTGAAGGGCACGGCCAAAGTCAGCTACGAGCTCACCGAGTCCGTCGAACGCGTGGACCAGATCACCATCAACGGCACGGAACGAAGCGAGTACAGCCATCATAATGCTGACGAAGTGGGCGACCCGGATAGATCGAATGTCGCCGAATGGCAACTGTTCGAGAACGAAGCGGCCAAAAGCGGACTGCCCACTTTCTTTCGCACAGCCGTCCTGCTGGAGCGCCGAGACGGCGACCAGTCCCAGTTCACCTGCACATTCACCATCCGCGCCAAAGTCGACAACATGACGGATACAATGACGGGTCTCAAGCGCTTCATTGGCCGGGTTCCTCGCGATGATCCCATCATTTTTGCGCCCAGTTTGCAGGAGGTGGGGGCGTTGACGAAGCATAAAGACAAGCTAGATGAAGTTGACTTGCTTGATCTGTGCAAGTTTGTCATGTTTAATACTGGCTTGCGTTCGGGTGAAGAGGAAGCACGGAGGGAGAAAGAGGACAATGTCAAGGGCAAAGATAGCCTTGTGATTCCATTTTAAATATGACCAATCCCGGCATGTCTCTGATACGACCAATGGCCGATAGTTGCTCAATTCGATATGTACTTCTTTACTGCACAGCTCCCAACCGTTCTGGCGCAATCATACTAAGCTCGTGTTTTCCGTAATTCTGAGAATCTCATTCCGGCAGCGCCGAACCATTTCTCCCGCGGGGTCCTTGTGCGCGGCAGCCGCATGCAGCAAAGGCGCGATATTGACCAGAGGGTTATCCATGCTGCTGCGAAGAGCCGTGAAAAGTCCATACATTTGCGCGTGGTTCTGGAAATTGACGGGCTTCTTCGGCGCTTGCGGATTGGGCAGCACATCGAAAGAAAGCGTACTTGTTCTTTTCGGTAGTTCCATCGGACTTGGCTCCTTCCTGACGTCGGGTGCCTTTACTGCGGGTTTTGACGTCTTCTCCGGTGGGTGCTGCTTCTCTTGTAGCGCACAGCACCAAAGTATCAAGCCTGCCAGGCCAGATGCTAAAGCTGTCGCGGCCGAACTGCCACTGATGTGCGCTGACATTGCCCTTCCCGACATTGCAACTTCTCCGGGAAAGAGATAATCGACCTCCTTGGGATTGACGTAGTCGGATCGCCCGCCGTGTACGCCAGCTGAGCCGACCCGTTTGAGGGTGTTCGGGTTGCGTTCGGCAGCCGGATATGGCTCGCGATATCCTGCCCAGCCGCTGTCCTGGGATGCGCAGAACATGATGATGTTATTATCCTCTGCATTTTTGATCGCCCTCATCATGCTCTTGATGCCCTCGTCATTTGGATCATCAGACGACTTGTACATTGTCCAGCTCATCGAGATTACTTTTGCGCCGCTGGCTACTGCTTGGTTGATTGCCTGCGATTTAGATTCTGTCAGTCCCTAATTAACTTTGTGGGCTGGAATTATAGTGCTCACCTCTGCAGCCGAAGCTGCTACGGTCTTATGAACACGTCGCGTGGTGTCCAGCTTGGCCATGTACAAACTGAGCCGCGGCCATACAAGCTGGACCAGTCGGGCCATTTCAGTACCATGCTTCTTGTCCGATATGTACCAAGCATTCACTAGCCCTCTGTCGGGCGTCTTGCTGTACGGACACCATCCAGTCACGTAGTCCGAACTGACCAAACCGTCCAAGTCGACGCCGTCGTCTATGATAGCCACTTTGATGGCGCCTTGCATGGCGGTTTTAACAGAGTCGTCGAGCTTCCCGAGTTTCGCATTAAGGACATCGCGAAATTTGGTGACCGCTTCGATCCACTGGTTGCTCCTAGGTTTCAGACAAATGTCAGCAGATTGTCCGTTAACGAAGTAGTAATCAATGCTGGTGCACAAACTCTTTCAACCCTGGCAGCTCTACTCGATTGTGTCGATCCACAGAATAAGTAAGTGTGTCATCCATGTCAGGCTCGAGCAGGTCCGGCATGTTATTCGCCTGGAGCATTTTCCTGAACTCCTTCAAATTCCGGCCGTTACTTTCCGGCGATTCCCAATCGCTCCCCACGATTACATGAAGTTTCTTGAGCTATTTGAATCAGTAAGAGGTTCATCAAAGCTACTGCCAAAAGCGGCCAGATGTTGCATGAGACGAACCTTCTGGAGCAGTAGTACACCATACCGCTCGTTGGCCCAGCCATGCAGCGCCGATTTGCGACCACTCCAAGTGAGCCATAGTTTCTGGAGGTTCGGCGCAACCTCTTGGAGGACATCGATGGATAAGTCTTCTTTATTCCAGTCCAGATACCGCACATCGAAGCCTTTGAGACACGCTTTTACGACCTCGTCTCTGCATGGTGCTTGTGCGTGGTCGTAGATGACGAGCTGCACGATCCTTTTCACTTGTTTCGCTCCTCGAAGCCAGTCAAACAACTTCGTCACGAGCCTTTCCCGTGTGTCTCTTTCCTCTTCCGACTGCGCTTCGCTATCTCCTGCTGCCGCTTGCCTCGCGTACAGGCTTACCTCGACACAAGCCAGCATCCTCTCCAGCGGGAGCTTCTGGTGTCTGCCGACAGTCCGATCGGTCAGCGGGTCGGCTTTGAAGATGAATTCGGCGCTGGGAAATTCTGTGAACGTGAGAATGTCGTCAGCATAATCGTCGCGTTTGAGAGCTGAGTAGTGACCGAGACTTACTCTCTCCGAACGAGCTATTGCAGACGTCTGAAAAAGACTCGGACGATAAGCATAGCTCTAGAAGCTTTTGAGACACTACCGTTACCAGGTCCCTAGAGATCTCTACGTCCTTTGGGTCTTTGTGCTTCAACACTTTCGATGCTTGAGAGCTGGTTTGTAGGGCAGTGGGTTCGCTGCCGTTCTTTCCCTGGCTGGGGTGATAAGGATCTCCTTTCTTGGGAGGAAGCTTCGGCGGCAGTTCTGCATTTGACCGTCCATTTTTTGCAGCAATGATGGTATCAACAGACGTGTCAAACTCCAATCTACCCCAGTCTTTATTTGTCTCGCTGCTGTCTCTGGTATAGCAATGAAAGAGGAATGGCGACTGCTTCGCGCTGTTCATCTTCGTCATAGCCTGCGGATGCTTCTTCACCATCAAGTCCAAGACATCCAGATACGTGCGGCGGTAATGCGCGAAATCGTCCTTTTGCTTCCGACACAACTTGCATGTGTTTTTATCCTTCGAACATCTTCTTGTCAAGTCTCTGCAGACATTGACGTGAACGAGGTCGTGTAGCGGCAGATTCCCACGCCCAGCGTCGCGGCTACCGCCGACTTTAGATTTTCGAGACCTGGATAGAGTAGCCTCACTAGCCTTGCGGGTCAGTTCATGGAGCATTTGCATGCCAGAAAGCCGAAAGCCTTTAAAAGAGCACGCTGATGCCACGGGCGAGACTTCGGAAATGGCAAGATCAACGCAGCTTAGCTCAAGGTCGGTTGTGAGCGCAATGGCAGTTTCTAGGACTTTGTCATCTTCGATGTCGCAAATGAAGATGATGAAAGGAAGTCCTTCATCGCCATGCTCAATAGCAGCGTGTATGCAGGTCTTGTTTCCTTTTGCGTTTTCGCACAGGACATCTACCCTGATGCTTCTGGCGACGTCAAGTATGAACTTGACCCAGACTTGCCACGACAAGGTTGTGGTCGTCCGTGCCAGAGAGTGTAGCAGCGTTCCATCTACTGTGGGCTCCTCCTTGGAGTATCCACTGACGTGATGGTACACGTCGTAAGCGTTCCTGCTGACAAACGAATCATACGCTTGTTGATCTTTGACGTCCCCTCCAAGCTCTCGGAAGCGATTCAGTAGGTCCTCTCTCTTGGCGGGTCCAGTCGCATCGTCATTGTCCTCATTTTCGTGACCATCGTCATCGTCATCCTCATCGTCGTCATCTGAATCGTTGCCTTTCCTCTCATCATCCTCCCGTTTCCAGTCGGCCAACTGCTTTAGAACACTCTCCGGAAGGTTCCAGCTCTTGATGCCAGGCTGAAGCTCCGCGGGTATGCTTTTAAGGCGCTCTAATGTCTCGTGCTCTTTCTCAACGTGAGCCTGTGCGCGCGGCCTTGTGCGATTTGCCATTACTGGCGAAATTGGTTGGGCCATGTTAGCTGTTGTGCCTAGAAGGATTTGGAAGTGAAAGAAAGATAAGAAAGACACGCAATCGAATGCAATTCCCGGGCAGAACGGGTAAATGGGCGGGATGGCTTATCGTAACGCCTGAGTCCTCGTATGCATGATGGAGGGTGCAGGGGTATTGGTCCAGCTGAGTGCGCGCACCAATTGGACGCACTGGCCCCCACAAGGCAGTATGCACGGAGGACCACAAACAGGTGTTTCGAGGGCGCTCATGCAGTCAGCCCCAAATGTGAGCGTGGAGGAGGGGCACTATTGCCGTGCGCTTTGCTCATCGATGTCGCAAGAACGCTCTCTTCACCAACCACCATGGAGACAGCAGGGTCTATGGAGAATGTCAAAGAAGATGGCTGGAGCGACAGCTCCCAAGAAAGCAGTTCAGTCAGCGACATCACATCGAACGAGGACCTGGTGGTGCCCGGTGCCGCATCGGTGACCTTGGCGGCAGACTTCAGCGCCGACGCTGTCTACGACCATCTCAGGCGCCAACTGGAACAGTCTGGTGTGCTACCGAGGAACTGGAAGGTGCATTCGGACACGATAGACACATCGAAAGACGACTCATCGGTATCATCGAAGATTGCGTTACCCTATCCTGCTCTGTTTCCACAAATCGCGACTTCTGTGGTCCAAGGAGGTGTTAAAAGTTGGCGAGATTCAGACCACAAGTTTCTCCGGCTTAATCTTCCCGTTGGTCTTGATAACCAGTACTTCGTCGCCTCCCTTGTCACTCAACTGGTGGCTTCACAGACAGATGGACGGTTGACACCAGTTGTACTTCGCCAGGATGGTGCAGGCGTAGGTGCAACCGAGCGTCTGTTGATGTCGCTCTGCTATCACATACTCAGCGATCGCACTGCAGATTGGGAATTCCCGGAGCTCCTCGGCGAACTCAAAGTCTCGTTTTTCGGGCTGAACGTTGGTTGGAGAGAAGACCTTATGTGGGCATTACTCCATCGTCTGCTTACCCAGGGCGGGAACCTACCACGACTACTGGTGTTGAGTCTTCCCTTCGAATCAAGCAGCGCCCAGAACAGTCTTTTGGCGGATCTTGAACGGCTACTGGATCTGATGGACAACACAGACAGGAGAATCAAGCTTCTGCTATTAGTTGGGCACACAATTCAGAATGATATCGTCAAAACCCGTAATACCTTCATGGAAGAGTGCCAGACCATGGAGATCGATATACTGGAGAGCTCAACACAACAAGCTTTTCAAGCTGATTTGCAGTCGCATTTCACTACCAGATTTGCCGCACGTCCATCGTTGCAAGAGGACGGCGACGAAATGATATCGACCATTATGCAGCATGGTCTTGACCCGCTGTCTGCTATCTCGACTCTGGATGCCATGAGCAATCGTCCTTGGCTTTTCTTGCCCCGATCCGAGGTGAAATCAGCTCTGGTGCATGACACACCCTCGATTGTAGCGAGAATACCAGAAGCGGACCGATCGATTATTGCACAAATTCTGAGCATCTTACGCTATTGTGCACGGCCTCTGACTCTTCGGGAGTTGAGCGAGGCTCTGACTGCAGGAGATGAGTCTGCACTTGCTCCATCAGAAGGAAAAGTCGCTTGGGATATCACATACGGTCTATCCCAATCCCTGGCGGGCATAGTTCGCGTTGAGGATGATCTGGTCAGGCTTCTCCCAGCATGTCCGGCCGACAGCGCGGGGCAACAGCGACTATCCCTGGACGATGCTGCTGGATGGCTTGATCTGGGTCCTGCGGCTGAAATGCGACTCGCGCTTCTTTGTCTGAGATGTATATCTACTTCCTCGACAGTGATAGAAAGCGTCAAGGCTGGCGACGAAGACGCCATCGATAAGAAGATGCCGTTCCTCAACTACGCTGCATCATTCTGGTATTACCACTACATACGAGCAGTTGAGAACGGAGGCGCCAACAATAAAGTGGCCAAACTTCGTTTCTACGAGCCAATCATAATCAACACATGGCTCGGACTACAGGGCTCCTTCTACTCATCCAGCTTGATGGCTTTGAGCGAAGAAAACCCCAACGAGTTGGATGAGCTGTCGCCGTTCGCGATAGCCGAGGAATTTGGCATCCGCCTCAGCGACGCTATGACGGTCGTTGATCTTGTTGAATGTCAGCTTTTGACGGTTAAGAGGGATGTCCACGGTGCCAGAGGCTTCCTGCTCGGGGATGAGAAGAGCTGGAAGGATGTCAGCCCTGCGAAAGATAGGTTGAACAAGGCTTTCTCGCATTGCAGCCCGACATCCCTGGTCAGCGGGTCTGTCTATTTGCCTGAGAGTGCATTCAATTTACTCCGAGCAGACCCAGACGTTGTTCGAAAGAACGCCATGTCGCTCCTCAACACTGCGGTCCGTCAGGCAAACAGCGAACTCGTGAAGGCGTGTTTGCCTCATGTCACAGTAGACATCAAACTACTCTCACTCCTTCCATACGACTCTGTATCCCTGGGTCCCGGCTGGACAACCATCGTTGAAGCATTGCCGCCAGCAGAACTCGAGCTTCTGAAAGACGGAACGGCAAGTCCGATCGCAAAAGAGATACTTGGTGGAGCAATTCGGCATGGTCAACACCATTTTGTCGATTTTTTGATGCATTGCGACTTTTGCTTCCCACAGCCGGACTTTGTGCAGCTCTTGTATGTTGCGACCAAGGCGGGCCAAAGAAGCACAGTCAAACGGTTGCTCGAATCCCACAAGTCGACTTCGCTTGTCTGCGAGTCGAGTGTTGATACTGCGTTGCATTGTGCTAGTGCTTGCGGCTTTACAGAAATTGCAGAATTGCTCCTGGCAAGAGGCGCATCCGTCTCAGCGAAGGAGTCAACTCAAGACACTCCACTACACTTGGCTGCCAACTATGGTCATTTGGAGGTTCTGCGATCGTTGATCGAGGCAAACAAAACAGCTGTACGGAGCCACATATCAAATGTTTCAACTGAAGGCGTAGAGAACCCTTCAAATGAAGGCGTGGAAATGGCTTCTGACTCGGAAACATCTGGAAATGTGCCTGCCCCCCCGCCAGCCACAATCGATGCACTTGAGATGCAAAATGAAAGCAGATCCATCCCTCTTGAGGTGGCCATAAGATCTGGAGACGAGGCTGTCGTTGCTCTTCTCTTGGACCACACACCGCGCGCAATGGTCCTCGAACGCGAGCCCCTACACATTGCCAGCCGTTGCGAAAATCTGGACGTCCTGCGACTCGTGATGCAATACGGTGGGATCAATCTCGATCGCAGGACTGATAGTGGCTGGTATGCTCTTGAGATTGCCTGTTCCATGGAGCGTCTCGAGGTAGCGCGAATACTGCTTGAGCACGGTGCTACGGCTTGGCCGCCTGATACAGAGACCTATGATTACCCATTCAGCAGATTGTCTTACTCTGAGAATACGCCCGAGGTAACGAAACTCGCGGAGTTGCTCACCAATGGGAACAATCGACCAGCCAAATCTGTCTTGACCAGCATGCTCCTGTACATGGCTGGCCAGCCGAATGAGGTACTGATTGCTACGCTCCTGGACGCCGGGGCAGACAGAGACGCGACTGACGCTTGGGAGCGTACCGCCGCCCATGTGTCCGCTATGAACGGGAACGAATCCGTGCTGCGAGTACTTCTTATGCGTGGTGCGGAGACGTCCACGATGGACAAAGACGGCCAGTCGCCACTAGCCGAAGCCACTGCAATTGCCCACCTTGGCTGTATGCGCCTGCTACTACAGAGGGGCGACAGACTTTCGCGCAAAACTGCTGAAGCCACGTTACTCAAGATGATGAGGACGGAGAATAAGGAGATATTGGAGGCGCTCAAGATGATGCTCGAGCGTCACGAGGAATTGCGTGGGGCGGAGGTACTATGCGAATGCTTCCACGCTGCTCTTCGACAAAACAACGGCGAGGTCGTATCTTTGCTGCTTGATTATGGGGCTAATGAAATCTACACGGCTCGGAAGGGGACATTTGGTAGCGCTATTCATGAGTGCGCGTACTATGGAAACGTCAAAATGGCTCGAGATTTGCTCGATCACAAGAGTGCGGTACGCGGAACCACGGTAAATCACCTGGCTGGCCAGTATTGGACTCCCCTGATTGCTGCAGTATCGTGGCGCTACCCGAAGTCACCCCAAAATTCCAAAGGCAAGGCGCTGAGGCAACGCCGCCTGCTCAGGCAAATGAATATGGTGGAGTTGCTTATCAACCGAGGCGGCAAGCCAAAATGGACTGGCGGTAGGTTTGGAACTATGCTCAACGCGGCCGTCGCCAATGGAGAACCAGATCTCGTACGTTATTTGATCGACAAAGTAGGCTTCAAGGTGGACGAAGTGGACGACGAGGGCCGAAGTGCTGCTCACGTGGGCTGCTCATCATTGAACGGACGAGAGTCGATCCACACGTTGAATGTTCTTCCCAAGGAGCTGCTGTGGACGGCCGACAACTACAAACGGCTACCTTTGCACTTTGCATGCAGTGGGCAAAACCGTGGCATTCTCGAAAGTCTGTTCTACCACAATTTGACGGCCGAGCAAGTCAACCTGGCTGACGAAGATGGTTGGACGTCTCTACATTGGGCTTGTAGACAATGGGACGTTTCCATTATTCGCCGTCTCATTTCATGTGGCGCGAATACCGACTCTCTCACCAAAGACAGACAGACCCCGTGGGACGTCGCTGTGTTCCACGACAATGTCGAGTTCGCGTCTGCTCTGGGTAGAGATGAGTCGGAGGCCGATGAGGTTGACATCGTAGATCACGAAGTGAAGCGATGGTCTTTAGCCTCATGTGATAGCTGTTTGGTAAGTAGAAGGTTCGTGATCCGGCCTTGAAGTTCTCCTCGCTGACTGAAGTGCTTCAGTGCTATGTATACGGAACGAGATACACGTGTCGGCAATGCCCTGACTATGATCTATGCTTCAAGTGCTTTCCGCGTGTCAAGGACGGTGTTCATGGTTTGCATGAGTTCGAAGCCGCTCGAACGACATCAGAAGTGGTACCCGTGAATGGAAGAATCGGAGCAGCTAAATCAGATGATGTTACTGAAAGCGAAGAGATCCACAGAACGTCGTCGCCTGTGTCGGACGATAGCGACTAGTAAAGGAAAAAGACTATAGTAGAAGAAAACAGCGTTTACTTAATTAAGTACAGTAGAAAATATATTAATCTAGTAGTTATCTATAGCGCTAAATTACGTCTCGCTCTCTACTTTAAGAATTCTCTTCTAGTTCTTATATTAATCTATATTTTCATATAATATAATAATTATTCTTTAAAGTAGTACTTTACTAGTAATTTTAATCTAATTTATAAATAAAACTTACTCTTTACTTATAAAATTATAGATAACTCTATATAAAGTTAAGCTACTATACTTCTAGCTAATACTAGAGGTATTAACTAAATTTTTTAAAGTATAAGAGTTATAGAGACTTTAGAAGCTATACTAATTACCTTTCTAGACTATATACTTATTATACTACTTCTATCTAAAGTATTTACTTTTATCTAAACCTTTATAATATTATAGTTTATAGTATATATATATATTTTACGTCTATCTAAAGTTTTAATATTTCTTAGTAGCTTATACTACTATATTAAAATACTAACTTCTATAATTATAGTAAGTAAACTCTAGCTTATAGCTAATTATATATTTTTCTAGTTATACTAATTAAAATATATACTTTTATTCTATAGTTAATAACCTTAAGAGCTCTATAAAGAGAGTAATAATAATAAAAATATTTATATTTTAGAAAGTTATTATAAGAATATAATTACTAAGTTTTGAAAATCTATATAAAAGAGACTTTAGTTCTTCTAGAGGCTAGAGACTATTTACTAGAATAACTAGTTAAACTATTAGAAATATAAGTTTTAAAAAATAGTGTTAAAAAAAATTATTAATTTTAAATTATTAAACTTTAACTATAGAAATCTATAAAATTAAAAGTATATTTAATTAATTATTTAATAATGTAGCTTAAATAAAACTATATACCTAGTATCTTAAAACTATATTTTCTTAACTATATATAAGAAGAGAATATTAGAAAATACTTAGCTATTAGTTTTTGTACTACTTATAGATTTTAATAGACTTATATTAATAATAATTAGTTCTAAAGCTTTTTTATAATACTATTCTTTTTTAAATAACTTAAAGAAGCTTAGATAGTATTAAAGCTAGTAAGTAGTTATAATTATATAATTATAAACACGTAATTACTTAGCTCTTAGATATATAGCTAAAGATTTTATTCTAACTTTCTTTAGTAGTAGAATAATAAAAATATACTTAATTATATCTAATTAGTTATTATCTCTCTAGCTCTAATAGATAGTAATTAAGAATAACTAAAATAATATATAAGTAATAGAAATACTAGTACTTAATAGCTTTATAGAAAATATTCTTTAATAGCTATAATATAATAATTATATTTCTATAGCTTAAGTATTATTAAAACTTAAACTAGTTTATAATTACTACTATCTAATAGAGAGTATTTTAATATTTAAAGTACACTATAAAAACTATATTCTATTTCTCTTTTTTTAGAAAAATGTATTAAAAGTATTTTAGCAAAAACTTTATATTTATAAGATATAGCTTTATTAATAGCTAAGAATTATAATAAATTTACTAAGAGCTCTACTATATGTATATTATTATAAAGAGAAATAGCATAGATTATTAATAGCTTAATACTAGTAAGTTTAAAAATAAGTAGTATTTCTGTTTTTTTAATAAGTAATTAATAAATATTATATATAATATAATACTATTTTATATATAAAATCTATAAAAGAGAATAATAAAAGTTACTATACTAGTAAGAAAATAACAATAATAAGAATAAAAGAAAGAATAGATATAATAAAGAAAACAGAAATAATAGAAATAAAAATATTTATAGATCTAGTATAAAGCTATATACTAGTAAAATAGTACTATAAGATATTAATAATTTGTTTTAGTTTAGCTAGAATTAAGTAGGTTTTAATAGTCTCTAAGATAGCTTTTAATATAATAATCTTATAAGAATCTATTAAGATAAGTAGTAATATATATAAAAGAAAAGTAATAAATATAGTATTAATAAAAGGCTTAATTAAGGTTTAGTTAGATAATATAGCTAGTAATAAGATTACTTTTTAACTTACTAAGACTTAAAGAAATAATCTAAATAGTATAGCTTTAGTGTTAGATTTAAGCTATAATTTATATCTTAATTAAGATTTTATATCTTTAATTTATTATAATCTATAAAATTCAAATAAGAAATAGAATTATAAAAGAGATAGAGATAGATATAGTAATAGAGAATAGAGAGTATATATATAGTAAGAGTATTATTTTATAAGCTAAACCTTTAAAATTCTATTACCTTATAATTTATAGCTTAATTAGTTTTAAGATATTAGAAAAATATAATAATATTAGAATTCTATTTATAATAATATAGATAGATTCTAGAATAATAAAATATTTATTTTTCTATTATATTATCTCTAATACTTTAACTACTAGACTAAAGATAGTAGTGCTAAGAATTAAGATTTTAGTTTATTTAATACTAATACTTTTAAATTTAGGCTTTTTTACTTAGACCTCTTAAAAATCTTCTTTTATAGATAGCTATAATAGATTTTATATTCTCTAGACTAGCTTACACTATAGATTTTCTAGTTTACTAATAAATACTATATACTAAGCATAAGACCTAGGTAAATTTTAAGGTTTATATTCTATTAAAGTCTAGTACTTAGTTAGATTATAAAAGGTTTAAATATTATTTAATCTAAATATAAAAATAGAAAATTAAAGATTATAATTTATAGAAGATTATTCTAAAACTACTTTCTTAGTAACTCTAACTAAATAAGTTAGATAGTATATAGAAATTAAGCTAAGATCTACGTAAAGTATTATTAAAGTTAAAGAGTAGTTATAATAAGAGATAAGTATTTACTTAGCTCTTAAATCTATAGCTAAGTATTCTTTTCTAACTTTCTTAACTAGTACTATATTAAGATTTACTTTATTATTTCTAATTATTAACAATTTCTCTAGCTTTAATAATTATAATCTTAGTAGCTTTATAATAGAACTAATCTTTACTATATATAAAAAGTTTACTTACAAATAGATAGAAGATATTTATTATACTTTACTCTTTCTAATATTCTATAATTAGAACTTCTATAGAATTCTAAACTTAGTAATTACTTTATTACTATCTTTTATAGTTCTACTTAAATTCTAAATCTTTAATTTCTTTTATTAATACTAAACTAACAGACATATATATAAAGAATAGAGAGATAATAGAAACTATTCTCTAAGTATAGAATATAGATTTATTATAATAGAATAGTTAAGAACTATAATAAGAAGTAAAACTTATAAAGATTATAATTAACTAATTAGAAAGCTAATAGTAAGTAAAAGATAATAATATAATTACTAAGTAAAGAATAAGTTATAAAAACTACTATTTCTTAGTTAGAAAATAGCTAATAAAAAAACTACGTAAACATTTACCTCTTTATACTAAAAGATAGACACTTATAATAAAATCTACTTAGCTCTTAGATTTATAACCTTAGTCTACTAAACTTTTCTTATCTTCTAAATTTGTAATTTAGACTAGTACTAAGAATATTAGCTTAGATATTATCTTATAAAGATAAATAATAAGTTTACTACTAAGTAATTAAGTAATTATTTAAAGAGATAAGAAAGATAAAAGTTATTATCTTAAATAATAATTCTTGTAATAGCTAGACTAGAAAAAATAGAGGTACTTTAGAATCTTATAGTATACTAGATAAAAACTAGCTATTAAAATCTTTATTACGTAAGTTATTAGATTTACTAAACTCTTTTCTAATTTATTAAAAGATAATAGTAGATATAATATTAAGTAAGCTTAATAATAATTTTTAACTGCGTAATTATCTCTAGATTTATAACACTATAGATTAATTTTATTCTAGATCTAGAGTTTACCTACGTAGTACTATAGTTACTTATCTAGTTCTATAGCTATTAGATAGGCTCTAATTTAATATTATACTACGCTCTATATTCTACTCTTTTAACTAAGATTTCTATAGCTAAGACTTTCTTATTATTACTATTAGTATTTACTTTAGAAACCTTTTTTCTACTTTAACTTATAAATTAGAAATATTTTAATATTTCTATAGCTTTATAGCTTACTTATTACTATCTTTAAGTTCTTTAAAAAAAGGTTTTATTACTATTACCTTTTATAAGTACGCTATTATTATTATTAAAGTACTATATTTATAGTAAATATTATAAAGAGAGTTTTATTAATATCTACTACTTTATTATAGTAAATATATAGTGTTTAAATAATAATCTTATATTAAGATTACTATATAAAGTTACTAGACTATAGTTTATTACTCTACTCTATATAAACCTTCTACTATAATAGTAAGCTTAATAATAATAGAAGAATAATAACTAAGTTACTATAGTCTATATATAGTTTTATAAGCTATAGTTCTTAAAACTTAATTAATATAAATAAAAAAACTCTCTATAGAAAACTTATTAATAATACCTAAAAAAGGTTTTAATAACTATTTTAAACCTAAAAACTCTCTTCTATTTCTACTTACAAATAGAAAGTATTATACTAGAATAACTAAATATAAAGTCTAGATTAAGATCTTTAAGGTATAAGAACTTAGAGCTTAAAAACTCTAACCTCTATAGTAATAGTATTTAGTCTACTACTCTTAGCATTAGAAAAAGAAATAACTACTTATAATTAATTAATCTAGTTTTACTAGAGTAATTCTATATATTAATTTTCTTAACTTTAAAGTAACTAGTAAATTTAGTTAGATTTTCTATA